GCCGCGCAACTGTACGACATCAAAACCAACTCACGGTCACAGTACCTTGCAGGTGTTCGACGGAATAAATGCATTCACAAAAACTCATATTTGTTTACATGTGGCGGGCGGGCGGGCAAACATCCACTATTTCGTCGTCTTGATTGTTAAATTCAACATGCGATTAGCCGCTTGTGAAAAGTGGAGTGATCACGTGATCACCAGCAGGTGCTCAACGCGGGGAAAAAATGCAAAAAATACGCGAAACGAACCAATCCATCACAAATTCGCATTTTCATTCTTAATCACTTTGACAGATCGAGCGAAACCTAATGTCATTTTAAAACATTGTAATTTTTGTCGGTAATAATCATTCGCGGGAAATTGTAGCTTTTCTTATGAAAATGACCACAACAATTTCAGTAAGAGAAAGCAAAAACAAAAAGAAAATTGGACAAAATAAGGTGTTTTCTTTCAAATTTAGTAATTCGTAAAACACGCGAATATTACGCCTGATAGCGATAATTGTAACTTTCAACATTAATCAATATTCTGAGGTATAATTAATGAAGTTGTGAGGCAGGTGCAGTTATTGGGCCTCTCAGCTGACGTTACTTGAGAGGACAAAAAACCCTTTGGCGGACGAAAAAAAAAATAGACAGGTGACACTGTGGGCAATTGGACAACAAATGAATAAAACCTAAGATTAAAAAAATTAACCACGATTCACTTTTCTCTGCATTAAACATTTTAAACATCTTTTTCCCAATGCATCTTTTCCAATAAAACATTCTCCTTTAGATGGGTTAAAAAAAGTCGATAAAGATGGTTGAATCAATAGCAAGATTTCTCGCACGTTCTCACCAATTTAGCCACTGTTTATCTTAATTGCATGGAAAATTTATGATGGGTTTTTCTTCTGGAAGACGGCTGATGACATCTGAGTAATTGCTCTTTTCTCAACTCAGTTGGGAGCCGAAAGTCAATTTCCTACCCTGTACTTCGGTTGGGATTTTAAGCGCCTGAAGTACAGTTAAAGCTAGCATGTCATTGTCATAAAACGTTTAAATTGCGCGTGGTAGCAAAGTTACGGGGGCCGTCTGCAGTGCGTTAAAAGAATGGTAAATATGAAAACGCTGTGAATTCATATATTTTGGAGACTACTTTTCTACGTGTAATTACAGAACAGGAAAACATAAGTACAACAAATTGCGATTTCCTCCACGTATTGTTTCCAATTGGATCTGAATATATTTTAATTTATCTCATGGAACCAGCGCTTTTTTCCTTCAATAAGAAATCAATTTGCCACTTAAAGAGAAGGATTTGAACATGACAAAATCCTACAAATTAGACAAGATTCTCAATTTTGATCTGAGTTTTACATCTCAAGGAGAAACCCTGACAGCACTTTGGCGAGAAAAAAACCACAAGATGAAAGGCTTTTTTAAAGTTAACAATTATTATCACATCAAAACGAAACCTAGTAAAATTGAAAAAAAAGATGAATAAGCTTTGATCTGGAAATTAATGCCGCTTGGAGAAGTACAGGTGAAAACTAATTTTAAGCCAAAGTAAACAACACGTTTGAGCCGCGTAAATAATGAAAATATTCGAGAAATGCTGAACTCTAAACGGAATAACTTTCACGTTCAGTTTTTAAAAAAGACGTAGAGAGTCTTGCAGCTTCTGTTTTTCTTTTCTGGACAAAAATTATAACCATTTATACTTGCATTGAAACCTTCAAAAAAGTTATATACTTTATTAAGAAATTTCACGGAAGTACTTGATTTTTAATTGCTTTAGTCTCCCTCTGTGCTCCGGCCTTGAATGATTAAAAATTAACACAAAATTATGCCTAACAATCTATCAATCGAGAGGTACTGCTTTTCAGTAATTTGCTTTGGAGAAAATAAGATCTTAAAATGCAAAAGGATTAACTGTTCTGATGAAACAAGGATTATCACTGAGGGTTTTGATGAGGGAGGTAAAAACATCAATCAAATATTGAGAATTCTTTTCGTCAGGCAGCTAAAATCTCTTCAATTACTTTTTTTTATTTTTTTGCTTAAAAGAGTGCATCACCGCAATTGATCTGATGAATGGGCACAACATATCAAAAGGTGAAAAAACATGTTTTACCTCGCTTTTTTTTAACTAGAAAGAGGTTTTGTAACTGATAAACTGAATTAAATTCAACACATTCGTTTCCGTACAAGAATCCTTTTCTTCAAGGAAACAAAAGATGAAGATAGTTTTTTGAAGATCAGCCGAAAATTTGAAAAAAAAGATAAAGCCTGATCTGATAAGAATGTTTCACCTGTATTATAGGTAAGTATTTAAAATTATTTTATTGACAATAACTCTATATTTCATACACATATTCCAGAGTCTTCGCTATCAGTTTGACTGGTTTTCAAATAAAAGCAGCAAAAGCGTCAGCTGCTAAGATATTTGGGTTTGTATGTACGAGTCTTCGAAGCAACATGAGTAGATTTTGTGAAGTTATTTGAAAATTCTCGTTCAGGAGTCTCCTTATCCATATTTCGCTTGACTGACACAATCTCCTAATGTTGAATGCATTGTATTATAGTTACGCTTCAATATTGTGCTGGCAATTTTCACGAAGGAAATTTCGTTTGTATAAACAATTACCGCCTTGTACCGAGGAGGGGGGAATCTGCCAAATTTTTTCCCCTTGGCATACCAAGGGTAGCTACATTTCAAAATTAGTTGACTCGAAATGGAATTCGCTGAATCCTATCCTGAACCATCACCAAGTAAACATTTTATGGCTTTTCATTACAGCACCAAAAACCCCTCTCCGTGGAAGCGGCTGAAAACTTCTTGAACTATCACTAGTTTGAGCCTTTCTTGATCAAAACAAAACAATCGCAACGGCCAATCAGAGCTTAGTAAATATCACAAGAAGGCAGTGAGAACTCAAACTTTCTAAAGCGCGGGAAAACGCCATCGACCAAGTCGCCGTTAGTTTTGGTTTGGCACCAGATTGGCTCAGACAGAGGCGTGAGATTCCCAGATCAATCACAGAGCAAAGCTCGTAACACAAAACTAGAGCTATCCAAAATATCTTTCTACCATCAATCGGCAATTCTAATCAACCCTTTATACAATGACCAAAATATGCTGTATAGTGTCTTCTCACAGGAGAAGGCGAATGGAGCGAAAGCCATGCGAAAGCATGGATGGGGCGAAAGTGAACTAAAGAGGCGGGAGAAGGGAGAAATTCGACTCATTTCCAACACAAAAGCGATATTCAGCTATAAATGACTGAAAGACTTTCTTTGGGTTTTTGATTGCGTACCACTCTAGTCATTGGCGGTCTTAATCTACAAGCCAAAAGTTATTTACACATCATAATCTGTTTAAAACCTGGCTGAAATTATAAAGGGTGACGTAAAAAGAGGGTGTACAAGGAATTGACGGTCATGGGCTTCAGAGGGGGAAGGGGTCAGAAAGAGAAAAATCCTTTGTGAAGTGTCAACCTGTTTAGAAATAAAGGCGCACTCAGGAGAGGATCCACCACTTATTTCCGATTGCTCATTTCACTGAAAAACATTGACAGCAACGGTGTGATTTTATGTCCTTTACTTTCCAAATGCTTTTATGAATGTGATCACAAGACTTTTGGTTGTGAAATGAAAGACTTAAAGATTTTCAGGAAAAAAAGCCAAATTGACTGAGGGAATGATCTTTGCCGAAAAAATGAAAAAAAAAAAAAATGTCATGGAAAATTGTTAAGAATAAGGTTCTCACTGCTTACGACCGGCTGTAAGAGACACGATCAATTCTATGCTTTAGTTCAGAGAGTACTTTGTATAATATTCTAGTTTACAAATTGCTAACGTATATGTCGACCACTGTGGCAAATCTTCATTCACATTTGAACGTCTGCTATGAAAAGTTATTTCCCCGAGAACCCTCCACTTTTCCGTTTTCTCGCCATGAAGAACGAATGGCTAATATGCATCAAAGTATCAAAACAATATCACTGCAGTTATCAGTGTTAAGTTTGAAAATGGGTCTAAGCTTGCTAGCACGGTTACATTGTGTTCTCTAACAAATCATTTTCGATAAAAATTAAATCACTAAGGATGGAAAATAAAGGGAAAAATTAACTTCTCGTGACAATAAATTTATGCAGACTGGGTGTGTGAATTACTTTCACATCAATCCTTGAAATGCTGACAATCATTTGAAGAGCTACTTAGTAAATTATCATTGAACTATAAAAAACACTTTTTCGGGATATTTCGAAACATATTTATATTCTTTACCTCGTCTTTGCCAACTTGATTCTCTTCATATGAGTGTGTTGAGTCCAGCTCAATCCCTTGGCCTGAAAGCCAAAAGTCCAGTCTTGTTATCACCAATTTGGAGAGCCTGTCCAAAATAATGTGAAAATTTGACATATAAATACAGGTCAGTGGATGGAAATAGTTCTTTTACTGAGCAACGTACGATTATTCACCTCTTAACACTCAAATTGAAAGTAAATATTTTGAGAAGCGACGGGCTATGCGAAGGTTAACCTCGACAAAGCTGACGAATGCACACGGCAATTGGTAACCGCCCGCCGGGGATTTTGGCGCGAACTTTTTCATCCCTTACGACACAAGACAGACACAACATAAGGAGGTTGGAGTAAATGAATGAAAAATGTGCTAGAGTCCGGAAAAATGTGAGTGAACAAACAAGGAAAGTAGGGAAAAGGAAAACATGAGACTTTTCGAACATAAAGCTTACTTGAGTGCGGGTATTCCGTTGACTTACCATTCGGTTTTAAGTTTTATCAAAAACGTTATACGCTTTTTAAACACCGTGACTTACTGGCTTATGTGGTTGATTGTAACTTGTGTGAGACAATTTGGTTCAGACGGCCTAAAAGTACGTTACAGCATTTGGACATGTGCAGATGTTCAACCGCTGTGTACGTCGCGTCTGGGCTCTTGCGCGCGCTTTTTACGTCATTTCGTGTCGTACGTAATAAGTGAATCCAGGGCAACGAAGAATAAACATAATTTCGGCAAATCACTGACACGGCTGGGGCATTTCGCAAGTGATTGTGAGAAGTGCTCGTTATTGCAGATATTGTAACAGTGTTTTCAAAATTGGAATACAAAAAAAGATGTGTGGATCACTTCTGTCGAAGTTTAAGAATCCAACCAACAAGATACACTCAGGAAACATCAGTTTTACGAAGCCACACCAGGCTCTAAGTAAGAAAAGGCTGGCCAAGGAAGACGTGGATAGGAATGAAGACAAAGAGTTTTCTAAAGATGGACTTCAAGCTAGTGCATCGAGCGTTCGTTCCATGGAAAAAATCCCCAGCACCAGCTCTTTCAAGCAGGGGTCTTCCTACGAAACTGATTCTTCGTCGCTAGATGAAACAGAATCTGCCGTGCGCGCATTGGTTGACCAAAGTAGAAACATATTCCCTGCCGCGCGCATGAACAACAGAAAAGATCGGCTCCGTGTTTTGGATCGCGATGATCAGTTGTTGGAAACTGCTCGTGAAATACTTACTTTTCAACTATGTGCTTCCTCGTCAAGCTCCAATTCTACCCGAGCCGTCAAGCCCTTCAGTTCAGCCGTTTCCTCTGTTCCAAATAAAACGCAAGCCGCAGTGGCATTTGACATTCCTGCTGGAAAAGCGAAATCGGTCTGTCCGCCTGCAAAAGTTCCAAGGCGCTTCAGACAGTGTAAAGTAGCACCTGAGCCTAATTTGGAGGATATGGAACAGAAGATGCGTGCTGCTGAGGAGAGGAAGCTGAAGGAGTTGGAGCGCGTCCGAGAGAGTGCTCGTAGCAGGGCTAGGCTGGGGCGACCACACCCTGCGGAGACTTCTGCCCGAGCCACTGCTGCAAAAATCGCCGTTAAACAAGCAGCTGCGGAAAGAAAGCGTAGCGAAGAAATGGAGAAGCGAAGACGAGCTGGAAACAAAACGTCCCGAAATAGGAGCAGAATTGCAGAAGCACAGGCCTTCGCCAGGGACCGGCTTCAGTTGTCTATTGAACAGAAAGAGGAGCAAACCAAGCAGAGGAAAGTAAAACGGCAAATGAAGATTGATAAGCAGAATAAGATGAAACAGAAGTACGCCAAGAAAGTCAAAGATAGAGTAAGTAACATTTGATGTCAAACTCGGGTTTAGCACCCTGACTAGGTAGGAGGATCTATGATTTAAGGAAGAGCGATTTAGGAGACTTTGGGCATGAAGAACATTCATTGCTATGGGGGCTGATTACACTTTCTTGCGGTTCTAGGTGACTCGAAGACTACAGGAGGAGGAAGCAGAAATCCGAGCTGACCTTCGAGATATGGAGACTTACAAAGCCTCCGGCGATAGCAGCGACGAGTCTTGGGGAGACGAAGAAAAGGAGAGAGTCAAATACGACTGGGAAGATTTCTTCTCAGACTAAGACTGATCTCTGAACCAAGCGGTTTTCGATGACTGTAGAAAACCACAAGTTTGCATGTAGCTTGACTAATCATAACAGGCACAGAGTTGATCTTGACTAATCGGAACATAGTCCTTTTCGCGCGCGTGGCGAGGGACAGGTTGTGTTACGAGTTCTGATTGGTTAATTTCACCGCTGTAATTTGTTGTGATTGTTCAGACTGCATGCTTACTTGTTTTAATTCCCGGAAGTCATTCGAAACCGCTCTACTTGAACCAACCAAAAAAAATAAATAACTTAATAAAATAAACAAATAAATAAGCATTGGCTAATGAAAAGTGGAAATATTTGAAAGTGGTCTTGAAGTTTGACAAAACATGGAAATGAAGCTGTAATTGTTCATAAGGATGCAAATGAATTAAATTTCAAACAATGACTGCTTATTTGAAACTTCCTTTTCGCATTATATACTTAACTGTAAAAGATGATGCTTTATCCTCTACAAAAGTCAAACGTCCCAAATATTTGCAACGTTTGAAAACACATATGCATAATTCGGTATAGTTGCACTTTTTTTGCGTTTATGAAACTTATTTATGATACTTCCGTCCTGATCTTACACCCTAGTCACATAATCTTACTTCCCTTCAATCTTCCAAGGAGGTGGATTTGCAACAATAGTCCTGCGTAGCAAACAGACTTTCATTTTCATGCTCTGTGCTCCAGACTAGGATTGTAAAACAGCGAGTATGTTTGTCGACAGTGCTTTGAGGGAGGGTTTCTCTCCGAAGGGTTTCGCTTGCTTTTAATTTGACCCGATAGGAAGGGTGCTGATTTGAGGAAAAGTGCTCATTCAAGGATTTCCGATGCACTTAAAAAAATTGCGCCTTAAAAATTAACGTAACTTCTGATAACTAATGGCAACCATTAACTTCATTACGCAAGATCATCATGGTCATTGCTATTGATTAGTTGACAAAGCATGATTCCATAAAGTTTTGTAACTCATCAATACGTCGTGGGAATAGTTACTGGTGATAGGACTGAGTGGAGTCCAACTTGGTCTGTCATTATACGAGTGATAAGAAAGTCAGGCGACCACGCAGCGTAACTGTGGTTTGCTTATCACGAGTTTGAATGTGATTGGCTTATTGAACTGTCCGATGACTAACTATCAGATAACAACTCGGCAAGTGAATTAGTGCAAAATAGGAGTTTTTAACCAATAACATTCGAGGAAAGTGTAATTTTTATGATTTAGAAATAAAGAGTGTCTTCCATAGTTATTTCGGTACATTACATCGGAGTGGGGCCATCCTCATGTTAGGCCATATCGGATGTGCCTGCTTTCGGGGTTTCGAGGCTTTAGCAGCGGCCATCATCTTGCGCTGACCCCAGAGGCATGGCCAGACACCCGTAAGTACTTCAGTGCCGCAGGTTCTAGAGGAACGCTTAGCAAATAATTTCCTAACATGCCGTGGGTTGACCCCACGAGCTAGCTCCCAATACCCGCGTCAGTCTTCCTTGAGGTACGACGATGACGATGCTCGGTCGATAGAGATCACACACGTGTGGTACTATTTTTGTCCTTAACCGTCTGAGTTAATAAAATGGGAATGAGTAAGTGCGGCTTATATAACCCAACCAGTCACTATGAGCTGTCTTTTCTCGAAGGG